GGTGGCACATGTGGACACCTGTGGGAGAGCTGTATGGCATTCCTGTGGGTAAACATGTTGGCAAATCTGAGTGAAGATTTGCTTCAAGTTCTCTACTGTGAGAGGCACAGTGAGCACGGGATAAATATTTATCCAGAATAAGAACCTCTGATACACAGTAATCTCTCTGCTATTACTTGCAGAGAGGTCATTTGCTGTAACAATAGTAGGTTTCATCCATGCTGAGAGCAAACTTATATATTGGCAGTGGGGATGAGTGACACCAAATGGTTCCTTATCTTTGCAAGAAAGTGTCATTAGTGTTATTCAGAGGTCCTGTGTTAATGACTGCACTGGCTTACACTGACCTAGCCAGGGACTGATGTGCCACCATCCTATGATTTCAAGACGCGATGACTTGGAACTGCAGATGCTAATTGGAAATGTCCTTTTTCAACTAATAGGAAGTTTCTAATTTTCTACTCACTTTCATAGTTCCTAAAGTGCCACAGTAATCAGGACAGAATAGTTAGAAATGATAGTGTATATGTGCACCACCCGATTTGGGTAATGGGGGCATTCCTAGTTTATTCCATTGATAAGTTTGGTTTTGGAGAGTTTAGTCCTAAGATTCATCCCCTACTATTTTGGCAGTTCATCTTAGGGGGCAGTTGTTGGATTCTTTTCCTTGGACCAACAAGCTCACTGACTGAAAGCCAACTGCCCAGCCTGTCCCAGCTCCCCCTCCATGCCTGCTCTCTGCCTGCCTGGAGAACCATTCCAAGCTGGTTTGTGCCCAGCCAGAGCCCCGCTTTTCCTCTCGGTGCTGTGCCAAGAGGAACATTGCTGTGTCACCGTGGATTGTCCTGCAGAAGGGTACAGTCCCCATGGATCTTCTTTGAGGAGAGGGACTGGGAACCAGGCAGAGACCTGCTGTGGGATGTGAGCAGCCCCGTGCTGCTGCTCCCCTGTCAGCACAGTGCCCCACTGGACCCAGGCAGCCAAGCAGTGGCACAGCTGTGACTGTCCAACTCCGAACCTGCATGTTTTGTGACTTCTAAATCTGCTCTCTTTCCCAAGCTTCATTTGGGATGGACTGTCTGGCATTAAAAAGAACCACCGTGGAAACAAGCTGCATTCCTAACAAATTTCAAGTCAGTGCTAAAACAACCAGGGAATGAAATTCCTTAAATAAGCATTTGCCAGAATTCTTATATAGACAGGGTCTGTATTTTTCCCAGCCATTGATCCTGGAAAGAGACTTTTTTTTAATGGAGCTTTGGGCAGATGGTAAGTACTGCATAGGGCTAGGCTGTCGGTGGTGTGAGGTATATGGAAGCAAAATCTTCACAATGAAGTTTTAATAGCAGATAATGCTGTTAACTCTAATGATTGACAGAGCTAACAACCAGCTTTTTTTTTTTTTATATTATTTTAAAGTTCCAAACAGATTTTTCTACTAGCAGGACCAAATTTTTTTGTTGTTTGGATCCTACCAGGTTGTGTAAGTAGGATTTTAAAACTTTTGTATGCAGTCCATTTTGAGGGGGAAAGAAATTGGGCACTGAATGTCTCACACCTATTCTTGATAATGCACCTGTTTTGATGGCTGGAAGGAAGTCACCTTTGGGTATTTGAGCTGTCAGAAAGAACAGTACCTAAATACAGTTTGTATGTGTAAACAGAAGAAGGAATAACAATATCTTCGCAATAATTGTGAACATAATCAGGAAGCTTCTTGTAGAAAATATTGCAGTGTTCAAGAGGCATCTGGAGGATGTGCTGCGTGATGTGGTTTAGTGCTAGTGGTGGCAATGGTGATGAGGAGACAGTTGGACTAGATGATCTTATAGGTCGTTTCCAACCTTGTGATTCTATGATTCTATGATTCTATCAAGCCCTAAGTATTCATGGGGTAACTTCCATGTGTTGGTTTCTCTCTCTGATAGTCATACCTTTGGAATGGCTTGCCTGTGGTTACAGCCTGCTCTTGGATAAAGTGAGGAAACTCCTGGTAGCACTGTCCTTGTTTGTAACAACCTGAACCACGGATACAGGAGCAGCCACAGCTGAACAGGAGGTGCCAGGGGCTGAGTGCTGTGCCCAGGATCGGAGGCAGAGCCAGACAGGCTGCAGCACTCCAGTGCTGAGGTTGCTGGGCTGGGATTCATTCCTTGCTCACTTGTTGCCTGGGAGACAAATACTATCCAGGGATTTTTTTCCTTTCTTGCTTGTTTTTGATTGGAGACACTATTGACTTTTGGCTTGGAGGAGGTAGTGAAGCAGCACGCCAAGTGTCATAAGATGGAAATTAATCACTAACGGATTGGTCTGAGTTGCAGTGATTTCCTTTCCTGTGACTGCTCTGTGTATGGAAGACTAATGACACATCTTCAAACAGCTAACAGAGCTGTTCACACCTCGGGCTATCAGGAAGGAGTCTTAACCAGGGGACACTTCAGTTTTCTTTGTGTTTCTGTCTGTTGTGTGATGGTGGAAGAGCAAAGGTAAATATCTTAAAAAAGGAACTTTGCATGGCTGGGGAGCTTTGTTTTAAATTGTGTTTATTGTTGCTCCTAAATTATAAATCAGCTCAGCTGCAGTGAAAATAGGGCAAAATATATTAGCAAAAAAATATAGCACTGCCTTCTCAGTGCTTCTTCTAACAAGAATACCTTCCCAATCTCTTGTGTGAGAGTTTCTGTTTTCCAGTGAGGTTATTTTTGGCTTTCACAAGAATATCCGCAAGCCAAACAAATGCAGCATGGCAGCAGTGCCTGGTTTGAAATCAGCCTTTAGCAGTGACCTCACTCTGTAAACCCCTCGATTCGTGCTCGCTCCTGGGGGGGCTGAGGGAGATCACGGCCAGGTAGATGACTTGGTTGAAAGGAAAGAACACAGAGGCTTGGAAACAGCATGTTGTGTTCCAGCAAGTACAAGTACACAGGGTGGTGTTTAAGTGTAGCATTTTTAAAGCTTGTCCCATGCTGTAAAGAGTAAGGAATCCAGCAAAGGTTTACTCCTGAAGAAAATGTTCCTAGCTTTGCGTGTTGCTTGCTTAAAAGGAAAATTTGTGGTGTTCTTGCTCTGCCTCTTGGATGGAGCATGGAAGTGGAATTTGAGAGATTTGGATTCTATTTTTGAGTCTGTCCTTTGCCTAAAAGGTCACTTCCTAGGCTTACCATGCCAAGACTGGCTTATTGTCCCACATTCGAAAGCTAAACATCACAGGCTCTTGGCTACAGACTGGTGCGAGGCACGGGGCACACAGCTCCCCATGACACCGTGGTGGGTGTTCAGTCACCTGCACAGTGCCTGGCCCAGGCAGCAGCCCCAAGGCCTGCTCCTCCTGGAGCCTCCAGGCCCTGCAGGCCCAGCCTCTCCCTGCACTGTCCCTCTTGGGCCACTTGGAGCCTTCTGGCCAACTGCTGCCAGCCCAGAGGTTGGCCAGCAGGCAGCTGTTCTCCCAGCTCCCAGTTCCCTGCAGAGCCTGGTTCCTTGCCCCCTGCAGGTGGGTTTGGCTTTGAATGAAGGCCATGACTCGGGCAGTGCTGTGGGCTTGTGAGGTGCTCCCGCATAGCAATCCAGTGAGGCTTGGGAAGCTTCTTTCTTATTTTTCTAGTTTTGTTTGCGGGGTGGCTTCTGTGCAGATGTGCAGCCTGTCAGCTTGGAAGGAGCTGTGCAAGCACTAAGTGTATCCCACTGTGTGTCCTGAAGCCCCCATAAAGCAGGGCAGCATTTAGGGGCTGTAGGGCTCTTTCTCCAGAGGAAATGGGTGTTGGGTTTGTGCCCTCCTTCTGGCTTTAGAAACAGTCTTCTTCATTCAGTCTCATCTGTGGTGTGTGTGTGTGTGTGTGCTGGCTGTTGGACATGGGAACACCAGAATCATAGAATGGCCTGGGTTGAAAAGGACCACAAAGACCATCTAGTTTCAACCCCCTTGCTGTAGGCAGGGTTGCCAACCAATAGACCAGGCTGCCCAGAGCCACATCCAGCCTGGATATTCAGGAGCTGGAGCTCAGCAAAGAGTGCCCTGGGCTGGGGTGCACACGGGGATGGAGTACAGCCTCTCCACTGGCTCCAAAGCATGCCAGCATTTGCCAGAAACACATCCTTAATGGCCTGAGAGCTTCATGAGGAGCTCTGTCCATATTGAGAACTGCTGCTGGTGTGACGTGTTCTTCAACAGGGCTGCTCTGATCTGCCTGTGCGCTCTCAGTGCAGCCTAGCAAGAGGTGTACTTCTGTGCATTTGAACAGCCCTGGGTGTCTGTCCCAACCTCCGCTGGGCCAAGGGCTGCAGTGGTGCTGAGTGGCAGCGTGGCCTTCCTGCTGCAGGCTGCCAGCTCCATGTGTTCCCTTGCGTCCGGGAAGGGCTGTGGCAGTCACTGCTGCTGGAACCACCAACTCTGATTTCACAACACCCCAACATGGTTTAAGATCTGGTTTTACAGTTTTGTTTTGTTTGGGGTTCTAGGGGTGTTTTTTCTTTCCTTAGGGGAGAGAAGATGATTAATTTCTTGTAGTACAATGGCACCAATGTCATGTGGCTGAAGGATTAAATCCTTTTATTTTTAAAACAGTTGCTAGGGTGTTTAAACCACTCCTTTTCAGCCCTGTTTTTCGTTAGCATAGCAGCACAAAAGGAAAATAAAATCACTTTGAAAAAAGAACCAGCTTCTCTTCAAAGTTTCCATCTACCAGTAATCGTAGCTTTGCGTTGTTCCAGTATAGGGTGACGGGGAAATTGCCAGATGCCATTAAATCATATTAACTAATAAGGGGTGGCGGGGAAGCAGCCAAACGTGCGTTCTTGTTTTTTTTTTCCCCCACGGAAGTGTGATTTAAACCATAGTTACAGTATTTATTAATGGAGCGATATCTGTGGCGGGCAAACTGTGTTCACCGCTGTCAGACCAGGAACCCAACCCACTGCTATCCTGACAACTACTGCTAAATGAATGAGGCTGTGCCATTAGATCAAATATTTGATTTTTTTTTTTAATTCTTTTTTCTTTGCAGAGTATTGGAAAGGGGTCCTTGTGGTGTATAGACCCAGAATATAGACAAAATCTTATTCAGGCTTTGAAAAAGACACCCTATCACCCATACTCGCATGTGTTCAATACACCTCCCACATCTCCTCAGGCATATCAAAGGTAAGACCTAGATGATTTTACAACTCTATTTTCCTGCAGCTGCCTGTGGCGCGGGGCAGGCACGCGGTGGCGCTGGGCAGGCCCGGGGATGCCACGACCCCACGGGGTGCGGGGGGACCGCTTCGTCCCAGCCCGGGGCCGCGCGTGGGGCGGTGGGCGCCGGTCGTACCGGGCGGCGGTGCCGGCTCGGGGCACGGTGCCCCTATCGGGCCGGAGCGGGGCCCGGCACCCCGCCGGGGCCGAGCAGCGGCCGCGACGGCTCCCGCGGGGCTCCTCCGAGCCCCTCCCGGCGCCGCGCCGGGGCCGCGGCTTGCCGGAGCGGGGCTGCCGCCTTCCCTCGCGCCTATTGGCGCGCCGGCTGCCACGGCAACGCTGCGTTTCCACGGCAACGCGTAGCCCGGCAGGTGCGGCGGCGGCGCGGCCGCGCGTTGCCTGGCGAGGGGACGGCCCCGGGCTGCGCGGCGGTTGCCACGGAGACGGTAATCCTGCCTAGCAACCGCGCGGCCGGAAGTTCGGGGGGCCCGCGGCCGGCGCGGCGCTCCGCCCGGCTCGGAATGATGTGTGTTATTTTTTTCTCCTGTTCTGACATGAGCTCCCGGCTGGGGCGAGCAGCCGCAGCGTGGGCATGATGCTTCGCAGCTGCTTTGGGAAACGTTTTCCACGCGACCGCCATCCCAAGCGGCTTTCACTGCTCCTTTCCCGCACACCCCCCACGATCTTGATCTCAGCCGAATTACGTGAATGATGGCGTTATGTCTGTAACCGTGGGGATGGACACGGTCTGTTTGCAGAGCCTGCCTTCGTCGGTTGCATTGCATTTCAGGAGTATTTCAGTGGTGCCCATTTGGATCTGTTCAGAGGCTCCTGCATCAAGTAACAGTGCAAGGCCAGGCAGTGCACAGTGTGGGGATGCCGATCCCTTCTAACCCCCCAGTGGAACGTCCCCAGAAACACACACAGCTGGGAGCAGGGGATCTCAGTGTTTGCTGGGGAGCTGCTCTGTATGGAAGATCGTGGGGTCTCGCTCTTGTTTTTGGTTGAATATCATTGAGCAGTTCCACTGTCAAATACAGTTTAATCCTCCTGTGGCCCTCTGAAATACCCATTTAATCACCTACCAGTGACTGTGGAGCATCAGCACAAGGCTGATGCTGGCTATCAGTAGCTGTTGAATTGTTTTCATTATTGGCAGCTACATGGCAAAGTCATTTTTTGGTATATATTTCTGATATGTTTGCAAGAAGCTGGATGTTCCCCATGTGTTTAGGAAAAACAGTAATCCCATATGTGTGTGATTGCTTTCTCATGTGTGGAAAAACTTCAGTAATGGATAGAAAAATGTAAATCTGCTCTGCCATTGTCATATCTCCAGAGCAATACATTGTCATAGTAACAAATTCCAGGGGAAATTCTTCTGATAGCAGAGATGATAGGTTTGGAGAAATCCTTGGGTGGCAGAGCTTTGTCACTATCCATCAGTTTTACGTAGCTGAAGGCCACGGTAACAGAAACTGTGTTTGAGATATGAATGAAAAATATCTGGAACAGGAGGATTCACCAGTATTGGAGTGCCTCTAGGAGCTGGATTAATCGGGGGGAATTACAAGGTTTATGAGGATCGGTTGCTGCGATCCCATGGAGGCAAACCAACCTATCTGATAAAGACAAGCAATGTTTTGGAAGAGTAAGGATACACAGATTAATCACATGTTCAGTTTAGTATCTGCATAAGCAGCTTAGGGTGAATTGAGCATGGAGTGGAGGAATGTATTGTAAAAATATCCCAAGCAAGATGGTCACCAAATGCACAAGCACTCCTGTTCTGTTCTGAGAGTTAATTCCAGCAGATAATTTAGCTTTACAGCTCCTGTAGAACACCCTGCATAAACACAGCAGAGAAGACTTTTTATGAAGGAGTTTTATAGTGTGGATCCACACATTTAGGTGGCTGACTCAGTATTGTACTGGTGTCATTAAGATTAGATATCTTACCCAAACCAGGAAGTTTGGATTACAGTGGGAGCCATGGAGAGAAGGCTGTAGTTACAGGGAAGAAAAACAAACTTGCAGTGTTTGTACACAAGAAGGAACTACAGGCTGCTGTTATCTGGTTGGCTTCTGCTTCTTGGAGGGTGAAGAAAGTTATCAGTAAGCTCTAAGAGGAAGCGTATAGTAATGCAAATTATTTCTTTGTGATTGGATTGGATGTGTGTAAAAATCAAAAATCATGCTGTTAAAAGAATTTTTTTTCTAATTCTTCTGATTGAAGCATATTTCATGTCATGTATGAGGAATTTCAAGGATGAACTAACACTCTGATACACACTGTGATAAAGGAAAAACTCTCTGCTGGGTGTGGAAAAATAGGTGCCTTAGTCCAAGGGCTATGATGTGTTTCTTTTTAAATATTTACAGTTGTGTTGGCAATAGCAACCTTGAAATGTATTTATAGACACAAGCTTTGTTAAGTAACTATGCAAGACAGCGCCCGGATTTTTTATCTGCATGTTTTACCTTTGGTTTTCTGTCTCTTATTTGACTGTATGTGTGATTTTTCTCTTTTGGTGGTACTCAAAGATCTTGAAATGGACTTTTCTCTGAGTATGTTGCAGCAGGAGAATTCTCAAATTATTTTCAGCAGCAGAAGGAGAAATATTATCAGGAAATGTGAAATAACAGAAATTATTAGTTTCACATATGCATGATATTTTTGCAGATTTTGATGACTTCTGGGAACGTTGGTTAGATCACTTTATAGACTGTATGATGTGTAGAGCGTTTTTCTCTCCTGGTCATTTTTCCAGTCTGTTTCGCTAATTGCTGTTTGCTAAGCCAGTGGTGAGCATTGGCACACTGGGCTAAGCTGCCATCTAACTGGTGAAATTGCAAACGGGTCTGAGATGAGAACCACGGTGCATTTTCTCTTCTGCGTTGCCCAGCCTACCTGTTGAGAACCAGCATCTGGTCCTGGTGTGTGCCTGTCCCACAGCAGCTGCTTGGCTAGCGTGGCTACTGTGCAGTGTGTGAGCACGCTGCTGGGTTCCCAGCCCCTTCGGGGGCACGGAGATTGATGAGGAGTGGGCAGAGCCCCCTCTGCCGCAGCTGCCTTCTGTGCAAAGTCGCTTTTCAGAATGTGTGCTGAAAATGGTGCTGCTGCTAGATCTGATCCCTTTCCTTTCTTGGAAGTGCTGATGCAGGAGTAAGTTTATGGCTTATAGAGGGCTTGGAGGTGTGCTAGTGATAAAACATCTCACGAAACTTCACCAGTTGGGTGTTTGAAAACTGGGGAGTGGCTTGGGGTTAGTGTCTCTTATCGCTTTTGCCTTCTGCAGATGATGGCTTTCCTAGAAATGTTTCCTCCATAAATGCTCATCACCTCTCCGGTGCCTTGCTCTCTGGTATCTGATAAGGGTGTTTTTATTCTCTGCCCCATATTAGTACCACTTCAGTCAGAGACCTGTGCCAACAGAGGTGTTCTCTGAATAACAGCTTCCGAAGAAGCCTGCTGCCAAGCAGCACAGCTGTGTGCTCAGCAGCTGGCCGGAGCCATTTGTGGAGGGTGTGGGGCTGCTGCAGGGCCTCCCACCGCCTCTGTGTCAGAAACTGCGCCTCTCCACACACAGGCATTTGTGAAACACCACTACTTCTTCAGGCTACTGTAAAATTAATGTTGTGTGCTGTGGGTTTCTTGTATTTAGGCTAAGATAACCGCACTCCATGTGCATGTGTCTTGCTGGGCTGAATGAGCAGCAGCTGTGGCACGTTGAGCCATGGCCGCACACATTTGCCATGCGGCGCTGGGTGCTCTGCATTTGGGCAGCTCGTGTGGGAGAGAGGCTTTGACATTGTGAGCCCCCGTTTGACTTCTGAAATGTGTTAAAAAGGTGCAAGAACTGGTCAAACTTTGATGTCAAGTTTCTGTTACTTTTATCTCTGTGAGCTGGTTCTGTTCAGTTGTTCTGCCCAGGGAGAAGGTTCTCAAACACTTCCACCTCAGGCTCAGGCCCAACCAACACTGCAGCCAGTGGGGCTGGAGCTGAGGCTGCTGGTGGGTATTACTAGCTCTTTGGTGATTTGTCATCTTGCCATGAAAATTGTTTCCCCACACTCCACAGACTGCTGTTGTAGATCATCTGCTTAGAAACATACCTTGGAACGACTCCTTGCAGTTTTTGCAGGTTTTGGCTTTACTGCTCCTTCCCTGAAACTGTCGTAGGTTTCAGCCTTTACCATTGTTTATTGAAAGTAAACTTGCATCAGAGGCAACACATTGTAGAATATCATTCAGGACAGCATATAAGCACTCTTTTTTTCTGTATGCTTTATGTTTTGAGATGAGAAATGCTCTTTTCTGGCTATTTGGGGAAGATGATGAAATAAACTTGTCCTATTCATTGAGTGCTTTGAAACGCTGAAAGAGTCTCCCTGCTAGAAGGGATCTGGGGAATAAATTAATTGGTAGTCCTTTGCGGTCTGGAGGCAGAGCTTTAATTCTCTGTTACTGGTTTTACTTTTGGTAGGAAATGAAGCTGACCATAGCACAGTCTAATATTTCTGTGTATGCCACAGCCTCTTATCATGATCGATCCTGTTATTTCACTTCCTGAACAGAGTCTGAAAGAGTTTTCTTCTTTGGTGCGGTGTCAAGGCAGAGTCTTTGGGGAATTTTGTTTTGCTGTGTCTGTAGTTTAGAGATCACAAAAAATACAAATTCCAAGCTTTGCCCTCTGACACAGTAATATGTCTTGATTTGAAGATCCATCTGTGTTTTGAGACGATGCTGCTTGATGTCTGTTTTCTGGCAAATTAAAGAACATTGGTTCTGCTTGATGCCAGACAGAAATAACAAAGAAAAAAGAACGTTTGCTTGAGTGAATGCCTGTAATGCTCTCAGTGCATAAATATTTCAGGGTTTGCCAGTCCAGGACTTGTTTTCTAATGTATTTAATCAGCTCTCCATCCAGTAGACTCTTGTGATATGTATCCCATTGGCTGTCATT